AGTAAACAGAAATCCAACTTAGAGGGAGCAATACCGCGGACTCTTTCAAGGTCCCCGACGACTGGGTTGAGAAACACTGGTTTAAAACGTGAGTGAGTGGTTAGCTTACACTACTTTCCTTTCTTAACAATTAACTCAGTTAATTACTTAATTAACTCAGTTAATTACTTAAATACATGTACGGTAACAAACATGGAAACATTGTCCCCTAACATTTATAGTCTACCTTAGAACCCGACTCTGTATTCATCTTACTTGTCTTATTTCCGCACACGCTGTTTGATGGGTGTGCGAAGGAGCCTGCCCTCCACCCCACGACACATGAGTCTACGAATCTTAAAATTACAGCACTGAGTGTATCATCTACACTTTCACTTGCAAAGTGCAAAGATAAATATGCCAAAACAAATTAATTTCCATAGTAAAGCCAGCCATAAACACGACCGAAGAGAACATACCTTTTGGGTTTCGGTCTCCTGTCCTAAAGAAAACAACATAAATGAATGATGAATAAATTTACAACTTCTGCGAAACTAGAATATTGAAGTAATACAAAACGGTCTATTACTTGTCTTAAATACAGACACCTGTTCATCTTCCACAGGTGGCCACAGATGGGTAAGTGGTATTTGAACCTCTCGATAGTTGTAAATTATTTTCAGCTTGTAAATTACATACGGGTTTGGAAATCAAGCGAGAAATTGCCGTAGATATGCTCCGTTGATCGATTAAAAAGTGGGCAAGTTAACAGCAGAGTCGCCAAACGGCCGTCTCCATAGCAACATCGATACATTTCTCTGCGCACCGGCAAAAAGAAACCGGGCTGGAAATAAAATCCGCAAAAAAAGCGGCCGCCTTTACTTCACCTTAACTCTATTGCCTGAATATCTTTATGTCGGCAGTTGCTTTCCCTCTGTTTCCCGTTGTTATTTTGTTAAAAAATCAAGAGATGTTTGAGGAACACTGTACACTTCCGACAAAATAGCTTATAATAACCCAGTTTTCCTGTTGTCATAATTGTTATTAGGAAAGTTTGTTTACTACAGTCCACTCAATTAGACTTTGTTAGGCTACATGTGATTGATTACAATTCAAATAAATAAGCAGAGACATTTTAATAAACTATATTTTGTTTTAGACGAAGACACTTTCCCTATGTTATGTTGTCTAAATAATCACTGATTTAAATGTTAACTGACCTTCGAATGTTTGCAGTAGAAAGATTGATCTTAAATCGTAGGTCCTTACCACGAGAATACAAAGAACTACGAATGGTAAACGGCTTCTTGTGGCGGAATCTCATCGATGTCAGCTTCCTCGCAAAAACTGATAAAAGTTGTGCAAAATAACGCTAGATTAATTTTACCTCGACATTCTAAATCACAAAGTAACAATAGGGAGCAGAGCTGCTAGGCATCGTTATTGCATCAGATTTCTCATGTTTTACTGTCAAAGTTTTACAATTATTCCCACAATAAATATTACCAGACAAAGTAAAGGTAATACAAGCAACTTACACGTGAACTGGAAAAATAGTCCCTGTGTAGGATATTGGTCAATGTGACATCTGTAGAAGGACCAGCAAGGCCCTCTTGTTGTTCTCCAGCTAGGATACTTAACCTTCAAACTGATTCAGTACTATATTTGGCTGTAAAACACTAAGCTAAAGATCTGCAGCTGCTCAGTGAAACATATTAAACAATTCCATAGTTATATTCTTTGTCTGTCTGCTACCTTTTCATAGCATTGCCTTTAATAAAACAACCAGACTGAAACGCATAACACATAGTCCAATGGCAATAAAGACTTTTTAAGTAAAATACAGTCCTAGGCCACGTAGGCCTACAATGTTTTCACTGCATTTCTTTTCTTTTACTTGTAGACTGGCAAACATTAATAACATTGACTTGTTACATTTTTGTCATCTTTTATAACAAACCAAAGGCAAGCTGTAGACAGATCATATTATATGACGTACAGCCTTAGCATTTAGATTTACTGTGCAAATGAATTCCAGTTACATCCTTCTTGCCAAAAGCTGAAATATAAAAAGTAGTCACATGCTTCTAATCAGTTATTTAATGACTATGGGAATGTTGTATGGGAATATGTGTATTATTTAAATTTGTTTTGCACTTGTTATGCTTCATTTAATCGAGTGAAACTTTGTTTATGTGATTCTTTAAAGTATTTTTAAATTCCCTGGTATTATGAAAGTGAAAAGGCAACAAAACAATGCTTAGTTGCACCACTATGTGAACATTTCAAGCTATTGGTTGATTTCCCAGCAAGAGTAATGGCTGTAAACTGGGTGTAGTATTAGGCTGACTGTCATTTGTTTAATTTGTGGTGTTGCACTGCGAGCAGACCGTTCAGGTGGCACAAAATACTTAATATAATAATGCTATATGATATACTCTGTTCCCTAACGTTCCCAGTTATGGATAATTTTATACATTTGCCTATTTTTCAAACAGTGATTAACAATAAAACATAAAAAGCGGTATTGTGGTGTATATACAAATCTCAATTTAAGTGCCATTTGTAATACTTAACGATAGTATCGATAGTTACATTTTAGAGGAAGAAGTCTGGAACTGAGCGCAATCTCACTTAATTACTCAAATTATTTGTTGGTTTGATATTTCAGTCTAGATCGATACGGAATGTCTACATTTAGTTGGGACTGGCTCCTGTTAAATAAGGCAAACTCAAGCTCAGAAAAGCTCAAAGTCCGGAAATTAAGAGACTAGATTTCTTGGATTAAATGAATAGGCTATATTTCATTAGTATAAAAATACATTTTTTTGCATGCAAGAAGCTTCATTAAACTCCAGTATCACCCTAAACACGATAAATATGTTTTTCCTCAGATGTAATGGGAACCCATGTGTTGTGGTTCATTTGCATCTGTAGTTGCTCGTCACTGATAACAGCTAAATAATGAAGGGAAACATAGTATTTATTTTCACACAGTATTTGGGTCATTTTTTTTACAACAGCATTTCTTTTCAAGAGCATGCTCAGTTGCCCCGCACGAGGCTAAAACCGGACACTTTCATTCAACAAAAGCTATTAAATAACATTTACAAAGATGTGTAATCTTCCACCGAAGACAGTGATTAAATCCCAAGTTCAAAACTTGTTCAGCGTTACGTGATATACACAGGGAAGACCAGCTGGTGGGACATTAAAGTTCCCCGTGGACATTCCTAAATATATTTACACAGAATATATTCTATCCAGTCATCGTAAACCACACCCAAAGATCTGAAATATTGATCAACTAAATACGTCGTGTGGAATATTGCACAATGCGTTCGCTTTGATGGAAAATAAAAATGTACTTCAGTCCCTTTTGCGCACTACATGCTTCTCAGATCTTCCCTCTTGACGTATTCTACAGTTTTGTCCTGCGGTTTGCTCTTTTTGTTTTGGTGCGTTTTAACATGTTTCGCCAGGTGATCGCTTCTCATGAATCTCTTGCAGCAGTCCGGGCAAACGAAGCGTTTCTCACCCGTGTGCGTCCTCAGGTGTCTCTGGAGCTCGTCGGACCTGGTGAAGCTCTTGCCACAGAACAGCCAGTTGCACACGAAAGGTCTCTCCCCCGAGTGCCACCTGAGGTGCGCTTTGAGGTGCGACGTCTTGCCGTATACTTTCCCGCAGCCGGGGATGTGGCAGATGTGCTGCTTTTTCTTTCCAGGCTCATCGGTGGAGCTGGAGGACTGGCAGTTCGGGCACCTGCACCTGCGGCATCTCCGAGCGGTGGCGAGAGGAGACTTCGTATGGAGAAGAGCGGCTATCTGAGTCTGATACTGCGCAAAATCCGAATGCCCCAGCATCAAACTCCTCTGTAAAGGGAACCGATGGGAACCGATAGATGAAGGATGACCGACTGCGCTTCCTTGTTGGAGACTCCACCACGGAATGTCCTCTCCCGGATGTGGAGACAGTTGCCTCGGTTGCTGATGGATGAGGCCAGAGTGTGTGGGGACGAAGCCTGAAATTGCGGGGGAAAGTGGAGTGGGCGCTGCGTATGTGACAGCAGGGACGTACGTTGGCGGGCAGCTTGATTGCAGTGATTGCATTGAACATGGTATCATTTTCACGGGGGAGAAGTCATAGGGATAGGACGGATCCGCCGGCGGTGTTAGAGGTAGTTCGTGGTGGGGACCGAAGGAGGTCTGTATGTGCGCCGAAAGCTGAGATTTCGGGGATAGTCCTAGTGTCGGATTGCTGGAGAGACCGGCTTGCGAGTTCCCTTCATTACTCCAAGGGTGGAAGATTCGCGACGGAGAGCCGATGGTCGTGTCATACTGGACCTGCAGGAAATCACCTGTACTTGATCCCTGGTGATGGCCAATCCTGTTACAAGTGGCCGCTAGAAGCGCCAGAGGAGAGTGCGTGGAGGTCTCCGGTGAAGAGTTTGGAGTGCGATCCTGTATAACAACAAAACTTTTAGGTTTGCTTTGCTTACACAGTCTAAACAGGTTCAAAGAAATGAAGAAATTAGCAAGTGAAACCTCCACGAAATTAAACAAAAAGCTTAATGATATTACATTTTGAATACTAAAAAGTATTTTGATATTACTTCGCGTCGTTTCCAAGAAAAAGTATTACAGCCCATTTTAAAATTTGATGGTAGATTACATTAAAGACGTAAATAGAAAGAATTTATAACATACACCTGTTTACATGTATATAGTACACAATCATTTATCTGTACGCTTGGAATTTGGATTTAAAGTGCACAGTGGCAGTTATAAAGACTGACCAAGACAAGTAAAAGAAGGCAAAATAAACCAAGTTATTTAAATGCGTTATAATGGAGAATAATTTAAAAACGTAGTAAACAAACCTGAAGAAATGTATGAAGTGTTTCATTCCGCAGTATAGCTACTGCTGCCATGCTCAACTTTTGCCCTTCTTTAAATCACCCAAAAATAATAATTTCAGAAAATCTGGAAATAAGCGAAAATATCTTTATGCAGAGAACTCTTTTCTCTTGTGCGCTCCTTCTCCGTGAGATATCCTTGGACTATCTGAGGAGTGAGGGATCACTTCTTAGAATTTGATAAGGACTTTGGTGGGCCGCCAGCCAGTCAGAAATAAGATTTATTACTTTGAAGTTTGCCGCTGCCCAATCATCAAAGAATAGCGGCTCTTTGAGAGGGGAAAGCAAATCCTTTGAATCCACAAAGCTCCTATGGTGTGTTTGTTGGTCTGGATAAAAGAACTGATTATTAGGGGGGATGGGAAGGGAGGAGATAAAGGCGGGACAATTAATGAAGTAATCGCTATGTGGGAAATGTATATACACAAATAATTGGATTTTCTTGATCAAAGATCACCATGCCGCCCGGAGACCCCGGCATTGGACGCTATAGTCATCTGATCCCCCTTTTTGTAATTAAGGATTTGTAGCGGTGCCTTGTGAGACAATGTGACATTGTTATCTCCGGAGATCTTCTACTATGCTGCGTCTCTGATATGTTGAAGCAGTGTAGAGCAGTTGAAAGAATCAAATAAAGCGATTCCACATCCATACAAAGTTAACCTCGTTTGCGAACGAGTTATAGATGCACAATCGAAGCTCTGAATGTGCCATTCACATTCTGTGCATGAAAATACTGCAATAAAAGCAAATAAAGTACTTTTTTATTATTGATGTGCGTGCAGTATTAAACATGGGCCTACAAACTTGCATATTTTTTTGCGTGCTTAACCTTTATATTGCGGATGTAAATAGTTAAGTGAAATGTGTTCTGATGTTTTTGATATAAAG